CCCCCTTGTCCCTCCGGTGGCTGTAGCAGACCATCGCCAGGATGGTGGCCAGCCCCACCAGGACTGCCGCGGTGATGCCAGCCACCTCGCCCCCTGTCAGGCCCCGGCCCCTCGCCATCTCTGCCGTGTGCTGGATCTCTTCTGGCCCTGCCAGCCGCCACACGTGGCTTTGCCCATCCCTGACCCAGGTGCTGTCCCCGTCCCCGTCCCTGCTGCTCACCAGCACAGTGTTGATGGCAGATAGGTCGGTGGGGGGCCGGGTGAAGGGTGGCAGGCGGGCAGGCGGCAGTGAGCCCCCTGTGAAGATGCCAGCCTGGACGCAGTACTGCACCTGGCAGCTATCGCTGATGAGTGCCAAGTGCTGGCTGAAGCCTGGGGGGCAGCTCTTGGCATGGGGGTCCTCAGCCGTGCCCTGGTGCTGCCCTGCCAAGGGGTTCCCTGCCTGGCAGCTGAAGAAACCCCCAAAGGGCACCGCATATTGGCCGCCCACCTCGTAATCCTGGCTCACGCACACCCTGAGCTCGTCAAAGAGCTTCAGTGGGAAGTACCCCGATGGGCAGGACTGGGCACCGGTGATGGAGTTGGCGCTGTGGGTGCTGAACAGCCCCCCAAAGAGGTATCCTGAGCTTGGAGCTGCTGGCCCGCTCGTAGTGCACCAGTAGGCACTGAATTGCACCCGGGAGAGCCAGAAGACATCCCGGCACTCGCGGTGGCAGAAGATGCCCAGCACGCACTTGTTGTGGCACTCCAGATGGCTGTGGCCTTCCTCCCGCTCCTGCACGCCCAGCAGCACCGGAGTGTAGGTGGTGGGGCAGGAGAAAGCCCCAGTGAGGGGGTTCCTCTGCTCCAGCCCCCGGCACAGCGTGCTGGTGTCAGGACCAGCTAGCCCGGCACACTCCTGGAAGACTCCCCCGAAGGTGAAGTTGGTCATGGCACCCTCACAGGAGCCGTCATCGGCATTGGCATGGAAGTTGAAGTTGGGTGAGGTGGCGTCGGTGCAGCCTGGGTAGGTGTTGAAGGTGTAGTAGCGGCGGATGGCCATCTCCACTCGTCTGGCCAGCTTCTTCACTGTGGGGGTGGGCAGCTCTGGCAGGGTGCTGGGGTTGATGAAGAAGTACAGGGGCAGCCCTGAGCGGTCAAGAGCCACCAGCTGGTTTCTGATCCCCTCCTGCCAGGTCTTGAGGGTGATGCCTGGGTAAAAGGGTGTTCCACCGATGCTCTCTACCCTGGAGTTGGTGCGGTTCTCGAGATACTGCTTGGTGAAGCCAGAGCTGGCATCCAGGGACTCCTCATTTTTCACACTGATGATGCTGTGGAAGGCCACGCCGGCCGAGGCAGTGACAGCACTCCGTGTCGCCCAGCTGTCCTTCAGGAAGGTTGCCTTGATCTGATCCTCCTGCACCAAGCTGGCTCCAGCGTCCACAGAGGTGATGGTGTGGGTGCCATGGTTAAGCACCAGCACCTCGGCCAGAAAATCAGCCATCCGTGTCTGGTTGTTCTCCAGGTGGCTAGCAATTGTCAGCAGCTGCTTCTTGAAGCCCTTGTCCAGGACTGCCCCTGGGTGGATCTTGGCAGTGTAAACCAGGTTCCTGACTTGCACTCGGGTGGTGACAGCGCGATCTTTCACTTGGTGGGTCTTGGTCCGGTGGAAGTCATAGGAGAACTTGCCATTGATGGAGGAGAAGAGGGACAGCTCCAGGTTGATGGAGGCAGAGGTGATGCTTTGGTAATCTTTCCAGGACTCGATGAGCTCAGAGTTGATGTCCAGGTTGCTCTGCTTGCGAGGGATAGTGAAGATGTCATCCGGGATGATATAAGATCCATCCTCTGTGGTCTTGCACAGCGAGTAGCCCAGGTTGATGACTCTGCCCATATCCAAATTCCTGAGGTTATCCCAGCCCCCCCCTGGCAGGACTTCCAGACTTGGGAGCTTCAGGGCCTTCATGCACTCCAGAAACCCTGCAGAGGAGGACCGCTCCTGGGACTGCTCAGCCCCTCTCACCCAAGCCACCGACAGCCAGGCAAGCAGGACCCCCCACAGCACCCAGATCATGGCTGAAAGGGTGCAGGACCCTCACCAGACGTCCGACTGGT